TCTCTCTTTAATAGAAGTGTTGCTTCCAGTATTCTGTGAAGGGCTGGCTTGATGGAGATGAATTATTTTAGCCTGTTTGTACCATAGAAAATTTTCTTGATCCTTCAACTATGACAGATGGTTTTCTTGGGTACAGAGGTCAAGGTTGTCATCCATTGCCTTTAAAATACAGAGTAAAGTGCTCCAGGATGCTCTGGCTTTCAAAGTTTCCATGGAGTAATCTGCTATTATCCTGGTATGTTTGCCTTTATATTTGACGTAAGATGCTTTTTCTCTTATGACTTTCAACATGCTTTCTTTACTCTGCATATTTAGTGTTCTAAATATAGTATGTCATGGGAACTTCCTTCCATACTTTCAATGAGTAGTATCTGTGCTTCTTGTATCTGTATGGGTTTGTCTTTCCTGATTTGAGGAAGTTTTCTTCTATCATCTTGTTGAAGATCTGGTCTGTGCATTGACCTCAGAGTCTTCTCCTTCACCTATGCCTAAAAATTGAGATTTGGTCTTTCGTGGTGTCCCACACTTCACACAAATTCATCCAGTTTTTGTGTTTATTTCTTTGTTTTGTTTTTAAATATTCTTTGCTTTTGTACTCTAATTCAACTACTTAATTCTGAGTCTTTATATTCTCTCTCCTACTTGATCCATTCTAATTCTAAGGCTTTCCTTTGAATTTTCTAATTGAGCTATCAATTTTTTCTATTTCATCTTCATTTCAGCTTGAGTTCTTCTCAATATTCTATCTCTTTCGAGTTCTGTTTCAAATCCCCAATTACCTTTGTTGTGTCATTTAGCCTCGTGTTTGTGTTTTCTCACACAATACTCGGCCATTTAGTCTCTTTGAGTTCAGTCTCTTTAAGTTCATTGATCTAGGGTTTTCTGACTTCTTTAGACTCCTTAATTCTTTGAAGTTTATGATTGTTCCACTAAATTCTTTGTCCTAGGTTTCACCTGGGTACTTCTCACTGGAGAACGTGTCTGTGGGACTGCTGAATTAGAAGCGTTAAATGGTGTCTTGATCTTTCGTGTTATTGCAATGACACCTGGGTATATGGGATTGCTACGATAAATCTTTGTGCCAAAAGCCGCCAAGCCCCACTGCCACATGTACACTTTATACCAGCCGCCCGCCTGAGTTAGGGTCCAAATGAATACACAGAAACTTGTATTAGGTACAATGCTGCCTGGCCAATGACTAGGATTCTCATCTGTTAGCTCAGTCTTAATTATCATAAATCTATATATTTTATAAGATTTATCTTTATAGAGGATGCCTTTTGCTGGCAACCTCTCTTGCCGGTGTCTCACATCCTGCCACTGGAGGAGGCGAAGGGGAAAGGGGGGACACTTCCTTTTTTTCCTTGCTAAATATGAGTCTCCTTGCTATGTCACTTCCAGCCTGGATCACCACTTCTCTACTACATTTCCCAGAATCCTAGTCCTGTCTAACTTGCTGTTTCATTGGCCAAACAAGTACTTTATTTAACAATCAATAAGATAAACATACACAGAAGTACTTCCCCCATCATGGGATTCTTTTGATGGTTCTGTTTCTAATATGGACACAGCAGGTTAGGTTTACACACAGGATGCATGGCCCTGACTCAACCTGGGTTTACAAAGGGCACAGGTGAAATTCACCACCGTGGCTGGGGCCAGATCTGGGGATGGAAAGGGTCTAGTAGAGGCAGTGTTAGACAAACTCATCAAGCTAGAGCTAACAACAGGGTCTGTGAGCCATGCACCTGAAAGATAGATATGGTGTAAGCAGCCATGGGTTGATGAGAGTTGCCAGGATGGCTGTTCTGTGGAGAACACAGAACACGTGTGTAGCTGGGTTTTTTATTTATTTATTTTACCCTTTGTTTCTTTGGGAGCCATCAAGCTCCTAAGTAAAACACACACAGAGGCTTGTATCTTCTTATGAATGCCTGGTCTTAGCTTGGCTTATTTCTTGCAAGGTTTTCTTATATTAACCCATCCATCTTTTGCCTCTGGGCTTTTACCTTTTTCTATTTTTGTATATTTTTCTTTCTTTCTTACTGTGCTGCTGGATGTGTAGCTTGGTGGCTGGCCCCTTAAGTCCTCCTCCTCTTCTCACTCTTCAATATTTTCTCCAAGCTTTCTCCTCCTACTCATTCTTTCTGACCGCCAGCCCTGCCTGTCCTTTCTCCTGCCTTGCTATTGGCCATAAACAGTATAAACAAATGTAAGGCATCCTAAAATAATATTCCACAGTGACATGTTGCATGTCTGTGGCTCTGTACCATGTGACTGGGGTATAGGGTTCCGGGTGGAGAAGGGTCTGTGATCTAGGGAGTCCCAAAGGAAGGAAGATGTATTAGGGAGAGATCATGGTCCCTGGGAAGCAACTGCAGGCCTATCAGTATTGGGAGGGCAGTGTTCCAGAGAGTTTACATAGAATATCTATGTCTCCAGACCACCAGGATAAGTTCATATGTTATAGTGGTCCCCTGGAGAGGCAGAGGGTCTAGAAGATCATCATCCCTGGCCAGCAGCTGTGGAGTGAGCAGAGTGGAGGGATGCTGTGGCTGGGAGTACAGGTCTAGAATAATTTTTATTTATGTATTTAAAATGTTCATATCTTTATACACTGTAGATTGATAATATTCACTCCCAAATCCCTCTACTCATTTCCCCAGGACACCTTCCCAAACACTGGCTCCCATTTTCATGTCCTTTCTGCTTTCTGTTTTTTCATTGTCATTGTTGATTTGTTTAGGTTTGTTGTTGTTATTTAAAACCTCTGAATCCAATTAGTTCTGCCTGATAGACTAATGGCTGACTTTGTTGGGTTGTGCAAGTCATGCCCAAGCAGCTATATCTATAGTGAGTTCATAAGCACAACAGCCATATAATATGCAGAAAAACACCTTTTACAACACTCTTTCCTGTTCTCCAGCTCATTCATTCTTTCTGCCACCTATTTTTCAATGAACCCACTTAGATATCCAACTTAGAGCCAAGCATTCAGTAGACACTTAATCAACATTTTGACTATGAGTCTCTATATGAATTGCGGTCCACTGCAGAGAGTTACTTCTCTGGCCAAGGTTGAATGTAGAGGGAAATGCCACAGAGCTTTGAGGCTGGCTTGAATTCGAGAATATTAGCACATGGGGACTAAACTGACCATGTTCATCTGAGAGCAGCAAGTCTTGCATGAGCTGATTACTTAGGCCAGGAATGTTTATTGGGAAGTACAGCATCATATATGCTATTTGAGGGCAGTGGGGGACAGCAGAGACCTAAGTCAGACAATGTACAAAGAGAACACAGGATCCCTCAGACACAGCTGCCTTGGGACTGATAACCACAGTTCTGGGGAAAGAGCCAGGACCTCCCGAGACACTAGCTCCAGTGTCAGACAGGCTCATCAAGACAATTGCTGCAAAAAGACACAGAACTTTAATGCTCCATCTGGCCTCTCATTGTGGCCTCTGGGAAAGTCTTGGGTGCACTTAACCCCACACACTTGTCCCTTTGGCTCTTTGGTTTCTCTGAGTAATTTGTCCTTTTCTTAGTTGTCTCTGGATTGATCCCTGTGTAGTAACCAAAGATAGGAGACTTCTAAAGATTCCTTCACAGGGCCTAGCCTGAACTTAAACTGGGCTCTCCAGTCCCCCTGTGTGCTGCCTCTCCCCACTGTCTCGCTCTGTCACAGTGATGGCTGAAGGACTGATATCCTCAGAGTGGGACATTAGAGAAGGAGGAAGATGAGGAACATGGAATAGTGAGTGTCCTGCAATTCCATCCCTGCATCCTCCATGCCTGTCTTCCTATCCTCTCATGCCCCTGTCCCTGTAATCCCAACACCCATTTCCTCCATCCCCAACCCTTCCCCCTTGATTAGCATCCTCTAATCCTCCCAGGTATCCTGCTCCATGTCCTGTATACTTCCATCCCTTGCTTTCCCATCCCTACATTTCCCCACCCTCCATTCCCCAGATGTCCACCTTCCCACTCCTCTTCTCCATCACTTTCCACGGCTATGCCTGAGACTAGTCTTTGCTGCTGTGGTTCTCAAAGTTAAAGAGACATAGGTCTCCTGTCTGCTGCTAGTGGTGGGAACTCTGCTCTCCTACAGGAACAGTGCTTCTTCTGCACCAACAAACCCAAGCTGGTCAAGAGGGCCAAAGACTTAACTAAGGACCAGACAATTATTCTGTGACAGGCATTTTCCTAAGGATGGGCTTTTTCTCCTCCACTCTGTCTCCTCCCCTAGATCTCTCCATTCCTCTTTATCTTTATGTGTCATTTTTACCCTGTCCTTTAAATGTTTTACACAAGTTCCTCCTGGATCAAATCATGGCCTTCACAGGTCCACATGAGGACAATGGCTATCCTGGCAAGGCACTAACTGGGTACCCTGTCTTCAATCTCATCTTACTCGCTGAAGCCCCTGTCTATTAGCTTTTCTAAAGGTTTTTTTTTGGGGGGGGGAATGAATAACAGCATGAACATGATCCACTGCAGAAGATCAAGTTAGAACTGTTTTCCTGGTTCATGAAGCCAACCTAGCCTATGCCCCACTAAGCCCTAGAGACAGAACCAAGCCCCACTTACATCATCCCCCTCCTACAAGAAAGAGTCAATGAGAGAATAAACTCCCCTTCTTTTTATTGGTTCTCAGGGACAGATAGATGACCTTAATAATCAAAAAGAAGAAACTTTAGACAACCTGAGTGCCTCCCCGACTCAGCATAATGATAAGCACACCTGCCTGACTGGAATGCCAACACAGTAGAGAACATCTGATGATATCATTCAAAAAATTATAGAGAACACTTCCACTTGTAAATCTTCCTCACAGAGTTCCCTCGTCTGCCCTGTAGAGCACAAGCCCTGTACCTGGACACACAGCCTCCATCCCCAGGAGAGACCAGAGTCCTTCAGGTGTCTCTGTAGAGGCTGCTCTGCCCTTTCTTTTATTTCCAACTCTCCTCCATCAATCCTGATCACACACCCTTTCCCAGAGCAGAATTGGCTGACATAGACAAAAATTCACTGACCTCCTGTCTGGAGCAACAGCAGAAGGGAGAAGTGAAGCAGGACCAGTGTGGCCTACACAGCCAAGCATCACTTCAGGACTCTGTTACCATGGAAGAAGCTCAGTCCAAGAAGGTGGGTGACACTAAGGGAGCTCTGTATGAGTGTCAGCAGGTCTTGGACCCCAACCACTTCATGAAGAAGAAGTTGGACCTGATGCTGCAGAGGATCAAGGCCGAGGAAGAAAAGGACTTGAAGCTAAGTAAGTACACCAAAGCCCCAGCCCACCACTACTGTGACCCCTTCATCACCTCTAAGCCCTCCTGCCAGGGTTTCCTTGCTAACCTCTGTCAGAAATATTCACAAGCCCAGGAGAGTCTGGACCCAAGAGGCATGGCAGAAACCCCTAAGGGAACCTTGGCACCCCCCCCTCTTCACCAGGAGTGCATCCTCGGGCCCCTGGGGAGGAGCACTCTGAAGCTGGAGTAGTGGGGTGAGACAGGCATTCAGAATGGCTCTGAGAGGGGTGAGCACAAGTTCAAGCCAGCTCCCAAAAGAAGGGTTTGGTGACACTTGAGTTGCAAGCCCAGACTTTAGAGCTGGACAGAGGCAGACTCCAGTCATGGCTCTACCACCTTGGAAAAGTCACTTTAGAGCCCTCAGCCTCCATGTCTCCATCTGGGAAATAAGAAGAGGGCAAAAACCTGTTTCCTCGGGCTGTGGGAGTAAAGTGATGATCCATATTGACTATTAAACAGGACAATATTCAATTAATGTTCCAGTACAAGTCCATGCAATTGCTTCTGCTGTTATCATTGTTTGCATCCCTGTGGGACAGAGTCTCAGAGACCCACATGCTGGATCTGAGGCTCACAGAGAAGACTAGAGACTGAGGACTAGTGCAGAGACAGGACAGATGTGTGAGATCCATGGTCCCAGAGCAGGACCGTTTCTCAGCAGGAATTCTGAGAGCATCATTCTTCCCATGTGACCGTTAAGAAGGCTGTGAATGTGAGCAGGAAGGATACAGACTAGATCCCCTGACTCCTACCTTTGTCTTTCTGACAATCAAACAACAGTTTCTTTCCTGGAGCCCATTCTTCCTCATTTCAGGCTATGCAGGGAGGAGGACTTAACATGGAGTTACTTACCCAGAGAATCTCAACAGAATTACTTTTTGGGCTTAGACCTTGAATCTCAAGTCATTCACAGATTGAAAGAAAAAACTTGTAAAATGGGAACTTAAGCAGTCTTTATGCAGAAATAAGAATGAACTAGAATTGGAGGTGTGAAAGAAACTGAAAGTTCAATTAGGTCATGGTTCTTCACAACATAAAGGTTCCTACCTGGATGGGGACCTGAATATGGGACTTAAATAAAAGCAGAGAAGCCATGGTGGAAGGCTAAGAGTCACAGACAAGAAATGTTCCCTCTGGTGAATGCAATGCTGAAGTTGCATTGGGCATAAGGAGGAACTGGAAACTGCTAGGGTCAGCATGTTGAGTCTATCCCAACTGGCACTCAGAGTTCAGTTCCAAATATGAGTGGGCACTGAAGATGCAAGGGTGGGTCATGGATGTCCTGGAAATCCAAGAAAGTTTCTTTTCCTGAGATGGACTCTGAGAAGAGAGTAGGCCTCTCTTTTCTTCTCCTGACTTCCCTTTTTCATTTTCACTTATTCAGGCCACACCTGTAGACAGATTTTTCTATTGGCCTTGAACTTACAGAAAAAAGACATGGAGACTTATTATTAATTATAAAAGCTTGCCCTATAGCTTAAGCTTGCTCTACTAGATCTTATAGCTTAAATTAACCCATTTATATTAATCTATGTCTTCCCTCTCTTCTATCATGCACCTCCAATTTGACCCCTGTGTCCTCTGGCATTTCTCCTGCACTTAGATTCATGTTTACTTCTTCCTCTCTGCCTTGAAGTACCACTTAACCTCTTCCAGCCAAGCTATTGGCCAATCAGTTCTTTATTAAACCAATCAGAAAACACCTTGGCAAAGACACATCATCACAATATATAAAAATATTATGCCACAACACACACCCTTGACTCTTCCTCTTCTTAAGCAACACAAGATCCATCTCTCTAGAAAAAGAGGTTAACTTGTCCATGGTCATGGCACATTGATGGGGGAGGTCCTTCTGTGTCTTATTGGTTGATAAAGTACAGTTAGCCAATAGGAAAACAAGATAGGTGGGACTAGGAGTCTAGGAGGATTCTGGGAACAGTAGGAGAAAGGGAAGAGTCACCATGTGAGCCCAGGAAGACAGGACGCTTACCGCTGGCGTCCGATAAGATAAGTCTTATAAAATATATAGATTTATGATAATTAATACTGAGCTAGAAGATGAGAAATCCTAGTCATTGGCCAAGCAGCATTTGTACCTAATATAAGTCTCTGTGTGTTATTTGGGACCTTAACGTGGCGACAGGCAGAACTTGGGCAGCCTGGCAGAAAATGCCCATGTGGCAGCAGGACTCGGTGGCTTATAGTAAAGACTTATTGTTACAGCACATAGAGACAATGCAGGGCTAGAATCTAAAACACTCAGTCCATGGGAAATCAGAGACACCTTTTTCAACCTACTGCTAAAATGTGAAAGTCCTACTTAATCCTTATCTTTAATTTCAAAGTTCATTCTTTTTACCCCACATTGAGCTAAAATGTTTACTATAGAATCAAAGTCCATTGCCTTTGATGGTCACACTGATTTTACTTACTGTGTACCAGAAATAAAGCCATTGTATATAAGGACATTGTAAAAGGGATTACATGTGTCTCACACAACTTCCCTTTGTTCCATTCAAAACAATTCCACACCAACCTGAACTTCCATGATTACATTTCATTGTAATACAAAAATATGTTTCAAAGATTCTCAATTTCCTCCCACGGATGTCACCTACTTAACCATCAGTAATTACTTGAAATGTGTGCTTCAGCCTGCAAGACATTTGTCAGAATCTCTGTTATATGTTGTTTCTTGACTGTTTGGCTCTTTGGGGGTGCTGCCACCCAGTTCCCAAATAAATCCAGAGTCTTATTCTGACTTATGAAAGCATGAGCTTATCATGGCTTGTGTCCAACCAGCTTTTCTTAACTTAAAGCATCTCATCCATGTATTCTCTGCGAGTTTACTTTTCTATATACCTTTCTTTACTAACTTCTCCATAGATTGCTATGAAGCTGAGAGGCTGATCCCAGTGAGGCCCACTAAGTGCTCCGTGTGTTCATGTCTCCCTCACTACAGAAGTTCTTCCCATGCTAACACCAGTTTCCTTCCCTCATTTTCCCTCACTATCCCCAGCTTTCAAGTTGTTCTGTTAAAATACTTCCACACCATCACAAACTTCCATGCTCAAATTTCATTGTGTATCAACTGTGTTTTAAAGACTCTCACCTTCCTCCTTGGGATACTACTTAGTAACTATCAGCTATTATTGAAATGTGTACCTGAGTCCCTAAGAACTTTCTCAGATTCACTCTGTCTGATGGACACTATATTCACCTTGAAGTTTCAGATCAAACACTAAGAAAAATTATATGGCTTCAAAAGTAAGATTACTAACTGGCCATGGACATATTCCTACAATCCCAGAATGTATGAAATTAATGCAGGAAGAATCTCAGCTCCAGGCAAGCCTGAACTACACAGTAAGATACTACCTGACCTTCTGGGAGAGAAACTCAGAAACCCATTTGATGGAAGTGAAGCACAGAGAATAATGGAGAGACACAAAGAGGACTAGAGTAAACCAGCATATATGTGTGAACTTCAGGGTGTCAGTGCAGGAGCATGTCCCTATAGGAGTTGTAAGAGCATCCATGAGAGAGTAGAGAAGGGTATCAGGGTAAGCAGGTAGGACTCCAGCCTTGCTACCCTAACTCCCACTGCTGGTTCTCTGATAGTCACACTACCACTGTGTCTTCCCATGGACCTTTCTCCATCATTTTCAGGCACAGCAATCACTCCCTATGTGGAACCTGGTACCCTCGAAAGCTCCTTACAACTACTGTGCTCAAGCATTAGAAAACTGATACACTTTCAGATGTCAGGTAAGGGGTGTGTTAAATGGAAACCTGGCTAGTCAGGATTCAGAACCCAATGTATCTGTGCTGGCAGCTTGGAATATGACTTCTAGTCATCAGACAGTGGTTATTCACAGGTAAGTCTCCACCTGTTTAGGTACTTCGGACAGGCAACTAAAATGGAAGATAAGAGGAGCCATTGAGGAATACTAAGAGTCCCAGACTAGAAATGATGCCTGTGGGGTCTGCAGTGCTGAAGTTGCATTTGACATATGATGGATGACACTGGAAATTGTGGGGGTCAGCAGTGAGCTTCGCCCAAATGGCACCCAGAGTTCAGTTCAAAATATGAGTGGGTTCTGAAATCCCAGGGGTGCTGTGGCTCCAGAAGTTCCAAAAATGTCTCTTCCTGTAGTTGGCACCAAGGAGAGCATAGGTTCCTACCTCAGCTTCAGCCTGACTTCCAGTTTTCAACTTACACAGGCTTGTCTCTTCCTCTTCTCCAACATCAAAGTATCCACCTCCCTCCTGTGAACAAGGTCTTGAGAAAGAGGTTAACTTGTCCTGGTTCACAGCAAATAAAGATACATGCAGGGTTTCAAACACTCTTATGTTCCTTCCTAGGATGCCGCTCAATAACTATTTGAGCTACTATTTGAAATATTTACCTGAGCCCCCAAGACTTCTCTCAGAATTTCTCTGTCTAATGGACAGTATATACACATTGAAGTTTTAGATCTAATCACGGGCATAAAAAATAAGGTTACTAACTGGTCATGGACATATTCCTATAATCATAGAATGAACAAAATTAATGCAGGAAGAATCTGAGCTTGAGGCAAATTTGAACTACAGATAAGATGCTACCTATCCCTGTGGAACATAAAGTCAGAGACCCACATGAGGGAGCTCGGGCTCAGAGAGAATGGAGGACTAGGTCTAGAGTAAATCAGCATAGATGTGTAAAATTCATGGTCCCAGTGCAGGTCCCTGTCCCTGCAGCAGGTGTCAGAATAGCAATCTCTCCATGACAGAGTAGAGAAGGGTATGAGGGTAAGGAGGTAGCCTTCCTACCCTGACTCCTACTGCTGGTCCTCTGACAATTACACAATGACTGTCCATTCCCATGACCCTTTCTTCATCATCTTCTAGGCTCAACATTCACAACTTACAAGGATCGCATTCTCCTCCAATGCTCTTTACAGCTACTGAGCGCAATCCTCAAAAATCGGAGACACATTCCGATGTCAGGTAAGGGACTTGCTAAATGAGAACCTGATGACTCTGGATTCAGGACCAAATATAAGCTGAGCTGGCAGCTGGGTATATGACTTCTAGTGGCATAGATGCTGGTTCTTCACAGGTGAGCCTCCACCTATGTAGGGACCTAAGATAGGCAGCTAAAATGGAAGTTCAAAGTAGACATGGAGGGATGTTAAGCATCCCAGACTAGAAATGATGCCTGTGGGGTCTGCAGTGCTGAAGTTTCATCTGACACATGAGAACACTGGAAACCGTGGGGGTCAGCAGTGATCTTAGTCAAAATGGCACCCAGAGTTCAGCTCAAAATATGAGTGGGAACTGAAAGCCCAGGGGTGCTGCAGCTCTAGGAGTTCCAAGAATATTTCTTCCTGTAAATGGCACCAAGGAGATGGTAGGCTCCTGCCTCAGGACTTCTAAAATGTCAACTAATGCAGACAACATCCTTGATTCTTCCTCTTCTACAATATTAAAGTAGCTACTTCCTTCTAGCACAAAAATTTTAGAGAGAGGTTAACTTGTACAAGCTCACAGACCTTAGATACAGATACAGGAATGGAATCTAGAACAATGAGAGCCTGGGAAATGAGTTCCTCATCATCATCCTGCTACAAGTCCGAGAAAGTCCTGCCCAAACCTTTTCTTTCCATACAAAACACATACTTTCTCAAGCTTTTATTAAGCTTTGAGAATGAAGACTACAGAGTCAAAAGCACTGCCCTGGTTGTCACCTAGGCATTATTTAACGTGTGTCTTAGAAAAAGCTGTTCCACAGTCTGTGTCTCAGTTTCAGCATCTGAGCATTGACACTGCTCACTCTTTGTTCAGCTGCCAACTCAGCAACACATGCAGATCTCACACCTTCAAGCTGCACATAAGAAGGGTCTTGCACATGGGGCTTAGGGAGAACTCCACTGATGATATTGTAGCAGATTAGACTGTTCACGGCTCTCTCCCCACAAGGCTTCCTACCATTGTTATCAACAGTACCTTCTCTCATTTCTTTTCCTCACTGTTTTTTTTCTATTCCCAACTTCCAAGTTATTCCATAAAAACAATTCCACTCCATCCAGAACTTTCATGCTGAAATTTCATTGTGTATAAAAACAGTGTTTTAAACACTCTCACCTTCCTTCCATGGATACCACTTAATAACTGTCAGCTAGTGTTTAAAATATGTACCTGAGTCCCCAAGAAGTTTCTCAGAATTGCTATCTGATGGACACTATATCCACCTTGAAGTTTTAGATTAAAAAGTAAAGAAAATCATAAGGCTTCAAAGATAAGATTACTGACTGGTAGTGGATATATTCCTATGAACCCTGAACTTGTGAAATTAATACAGGAAGAAACTGAGCTAGAGGCAAGTTTGAACTACGATTAAAATGCTACCTATCCCTGTGGAATAGAGTGTCAAGAGTCCCACCTGAGGGAGCTGAGGCTCAGAGAGGAATGGAGACTCACACATGGGACTAACATAGACCAGCATAAGTGTGTGAACATCATGATCCCAGTGCAGGACCGTGTCCCTGATGCAGGTGTAAGAGCATCACTTTCACTATGAGATGTGGAGAAGGGTGTGAGGATAGGCAGGTAGGACCCCAGCATTGCTACTCTGACTCCTACTGCTGGTTCTCTGACAATCACACAACCACTGTCTCTTCCCATGGCCCCTTCTTCATCATTTCTAGGCTCAGAAACTACACACTACATGAATCCCACTCCCCTCCAAACCTCCTTACAACTACTGAGATCAGGACTTGAAGATCTGAGAGAAATTCTGATGTCAGGTAAGGGGCATATTAAATGAGAACCTGATAAGTTTGTATTCAAATCTAAACATAAGCTAAGCTGGCATCTGGGGATGAGACTTCTAGTCGACCTAGATGGTGGTTATTCACAGGTGAGTCTCTCCAAGTTTGGAAACCTGGGACAGGCAACTAAAATAAAAGGTCAGAGGAGCCATGGAGGAATGTTAAGAGTTACAGGCTAGAAATAATGCCTTTTGCCTCTGCAGTGCTGATGTTGCATTTGACAACGAAGAACCTGGTACCCCTTGGGGTCAGCAGTGAACCTAGCCCAAATGGCACCCAGAATTCAGCTCAAAATATGAGTGGATTCTGAAATCCCAGGGGTCATACAGGTCCTGATGCTCCAAGAGGATCTCCTCGCTTGAGACAGACCCCCAAGTAGAAGAAGGTTCCTGCCTCAGCTTCAGCCTGAGTTCCCTTATTTCAACTTAGACAGAACACACCCTTGCCTCTTCCCCGCCTCAGGCATCAAAGTAGCACCTCTCTCCAATGCACAAGGACTAGAGAAGAGGTTAACTTACCCGAGCTCACAGAACATGCAGAGCTTTAATATGGAACCACAGGAGCCCTTGAAAGGATTTCCTCCACATTCATCCTGTTACTCTCTGAAAATCCTGCCCACACCTAACCTTTGTCTCTTCCTTCAATGTCCATTCTTCCCTTCCAACATTAAGCCTTGAGAATGAAGACTACAGAGTCAAAAGCTATTGCCCCTAGTTGTCACCTCAGCATCATTTAATCTGTATCCTAGAAAAAGTCATTCCACAGACAGTGTCTCTGTTTCATTATCTGAGCAATCACATTGCTCCTTCTTTGTTTCACTGCCACCTCTCCAACGGGTGGACATCTCACATCTTTAAGCTGTACATAAGAAGGCCCTTGCACATGGGGCTTATGGAAGATTCCACTGATGATATTGTAGCCAACTAGAGT